TACCTAGTTGTTTTCCTTTGTCCTTTAGGTTGCTGTCGCAACACAATGACGTCGGCTACAAGGGAGCGCCGCAAGGGAGGTATCCGAATCTCGACGCGGCTGGCTTTTTTGCACTGGGAACTCTGTCCACCAGCAGTCATCGTTCCAAAGGGGCACTGCGAAATTGTAGGGCCGAAAAAGAAACGGATTAAGTCCCGTGTAACGAGGACAGAGAGTGAATGAGATGGAAGAGCATTCTCATCTCACTCTGCCCTTCCCATTCCTTCACTATCTTTACTATCTACTTGGTTGACGTTGGAAGGGGAGCAACCAATTAAATTTTAGCAGATAAGTGGGGATTTCAACCACTAAACCACAACAAGCAAAAATGTAAAATGGTTCCCAACAACAACCATGTCTATCCCAGGCGGAAGTCTGAGTGGACTACAAAAACCGTGACAGGGTCAAACTGCAGTCCACTCGACTAGTCAGAACCCACGCTTCGCGCGGCAATGAAAAAAGTTTGGGGCGCACTCAGAACGCTCCTGGGATTGACCAGGTGTGACAAAAGCACACGTGGGGCAAACGGGTGCATAAATATCGGGCACGCCTGGGTGAAGTCTGGAAACGAACAGATCGACTTTTCATGAGTTGTTTTGTCAACGGAGACACCACTTCAGGGAGGCGCAATCTTAAAAAGGTGTAAGGTCGCCCGGAACCAAATAACTTACAAACAGTATTGGCTTGATCGCTTGGACGGACCAGGCCAGTAAAAAAATGCCCCTCATAGGCTCACAGCTGCTGCTCGCACTTTTCTGACAACTGCCTTCCCCAGCTCCTCCCGGGCAGGTAGCAAAGTGGGTTTGGACAGCAATCAACAACTAAGCCACAATCAAAACTCGGTGCAAGTTTGCACTGATCGGTTTTGATTGTAACTCATTTGGGGAGGGGGGGAGGGTTATCTTTGTTTCTGTGTGATTGGGTCTATGTCTTCCAACCCCTTCACAATCCTCCCACCGATGCCCGCAAACAGCTGCCAGCCCGGTGCCAAGCCACGTGCGAAGGACACGTACCGACGCTGGGAGGAAAGAACACTCTGAAGCAGGCTGACCAAACAACCAAACGACTAACGCATTCTGCTGTGGGTCCAAAATAGGTACCCAAAATGGGGCCTGGTAAATGGAACCAAGGACTAAAACATGCGGCGCCCTGGTTTAATCTTGATCCATATATCTGAAATGAGAACCGTGAACAGAAGCTGCCCTGAATTTCCACCCCAGCCATGCTGGATAGGGGCCTGCCATAAATCACGAATGCAGCGAATATGTAAACAGTTGTTCCAAACAGGGCGCTTATGTCTATGTCTATTTATAAAACTACGTGCGCGTGGGCAGTGAAAAAACATCGTTGACGCAGTCGTGCCATTCGTGGTCGTTGTATTTTGAAAGGATATCGCGCAATGGCATTGCTTCTTGCGTGGGTCTCCATCCTTCAGCATGCACATTGCAAAGAAGACGGTGGCCATGATACGTTCATGTCAGCGTGCTTCGGGATAACTTTGGTGTGTATACATAGATGTGTATACATATATAAATATGTATATATGTTTGTGTGTATGTATGTATGTATGTATGTATGTATGTATGTACGTATGTATACGAGCCAGCCAAATTCTTGTTGCACGGCCTGTATTCATTCCACTCTTAGTGAGCGCTTGACTATTTTCCACGTTGTGCGGCGCGCGAACTGTCCCTCTGCCTTGCGGCGCTGCATCGGGCCCTTACCTATTTTGATATGGCCCTCGCATCCGCCCCCTGCTTCGCTTCAATAGTTTCGATACAGTTGGCACGGAGGCGCACGCCTTTTGCGACGTCAGGTTTGCGTGATGCGTCGGTAAGCATGCCTTTTGCAGACGCGGGCACAGATTGCGTGACAGGCGCAGCAATGTTGGCGATGCCGGCACGGGCGTGACGCAAGTCAAAATGGCACGGACGTGAAAACTGGCGCACGTAGATTTCTGGCAGGCGCTTTGCAAGGTCAGGTCAGGTGCAGAATTCGTGGCGCGCAGCACTTTCGCAAGGCCAGGCGCAGATTTCGTGGCAGGCACGAAAGATTGACAAACATGCTCGAAGGACAGATAAAACGATAGATGGATTGGTAGCGCGACGGATGGAAATACAGATAGATGGACAAATGGAAAGAATAGTTCGAGCAGGTAGATACAAAGATAGGTAGGTAGATAAATAAACGGAAACATAAAGGCAACGTAGATAGAAAGGAGCATCAGATTGACAGGTGAGATTGCAAGATGAATAGATCGATAGATTGAGCGACCGATAGATAGCAAGATTTGGTACATGGCAAGAGCTAGCTAGAAGATTGCTAGATGGAGGGATAGACAGTTAGACGGATAGCTAGAAACCTGGATAGAAGCGAAAGAGATAAATTAATATGTTAATCAAATACACGAAGACTTTTGACAGACAGGCGTTGAAGACATGACGGGCGGGGACACAGACAGAGAAACAGAAAGGAAAAACTAAAAAAAAGACAGAAACAAAAACATACATGCATACACGCACACACACACGTATACACCTACACGCATGCGTACAAAACATGCGGACTCACAGACATACAAGCTGTGAGTCTCGCCGTTCTTGGCATTTGTTTGCGGATTGCAACAACAACTACTACTACACCTTCTTTACTACTACCTGCCTTCCTATTTTTCCTCGACTGCATCTACTACTACTACTACTACAACTACTACTACTACTGCTCCTCCTACTACTAGTGCTACTCCAACTACTCCTGCAACTGCTACAACAACCACCACCAGCACTACTAGTACTACTGCTAGTCTATGACTACTACTGATACTAGTACTACTGCTGCTACTGCTGCTGCTACTGGCCCTACTGCTACTACTACTACAACTACTACAAATTAACTCCTATTCCTGCTGCTAGTGGCAGTACTAGAGAGTGGTAGTAGTTTTCGTCCTCGTTGTCGTAGCACTGTATTGCGTGTTATGTGCCACGTGCCAGTACCAGAAGAGCCGGCGAAGCGAGTTGGCAGAAGTTTCGTAATATCAGAGCTATGGATATCTGTCCCTTTCTTGTTGTGCTTCTTTGTTTCTATGTCTGTCTCTTTTTCGCTCCGTCTCTATGCCGGCTTGCGTATGTGCTCATGTGTGTACGCGTGAATATGTGTATGTGTGTGCCTGTTCATATATGCATGCGTTCACGCAAGCATGTATACATTCATGCATGCATGCATGTCGTGTGTATATTGCACGCAATGTGTGTATGTTTGTGTGTGTGTGTGTACGTATGTATGTATGTATGTATGTACGTACGTACGTATGTGTATGTAATGTATGTGAGTATATGCGTGCGTGTGTGTATGTGTGTATGTGCGTATGTGGTTTTGTGTGTGTGTGTGTATGTGTGTGCGTGTATGTATGTGTGTATGTATGTATGTATGTATGTATGTATGTATGTATGTCTGTATGCACGTATGTATGCATGTGTGGAGGTGGGATGCGTGCGTGCGTGCGTGCGTGCGTGCGTGCGTGCGTGCGTGCGTGCGTGCGTGCGTGCGTGCGTGCGTGCGTGCGTGCGTGCGTGCGTGCGTGCGTGCGTGCGTGCGTGCGTGCGTGCGTGCGTGCGTGCGTGCGTGCGTGCGTGTGCGTGCGTGCGTGCGTGCGTGCGTGCGTGCGTGCGTGCGTGCGTGCGTGCGTGCGTGCGTGCGTGCGTGCGTGCGTGCGTGCGTGCGTGCGTGCGTGCGTGCGTGCGTGCGTGCGTGCGTGCGTGCGTGCGTGCGTGCGTGCGTGCGTGCGTGCGTGCGTGCGTGCGTGCGTGCGTGCGTGCGTGCGTGCGTGCGTGCGTGCGTGCGTGCGTGCGTGCGTGCGTGCGTGCGTGCGTGCGTGCGTGCGTGCGTGCGTGCGTGCGTGCGTGCGTGCGTGCGTGCGTGCGTGCGTGCGTGCGTGCGTGCGTGCGTGCGTGCGTGCGTGCGTGCGTGCGTGCGTGCGTGCGTGCGTGCGTGCGTGCGTGCGTGCGTGCGTGCGTGCGTGCGTGCGTGCGTGCGTGCGTGCGTGCGTGCGTGCGTGCGTGCGTGCGTGCGTGCGTGCGTGCGTGCGTGCGTGCGTGCGTGCGTGCGTGCGTGCGTGCGTGCGTGCGTGCGTGCGTGCGTGCGTGCGTGCGTGCGTGCGTGCGTGCGTGCGTGCGTGCGTGCGTGCGTGCGTGCGTGCGTGCGTGCGTGCGTGCGTGCGTGCGTGCGTGCGTGCGTGTGCGTGCGTGCGTGCGTGCGTGCGTGTGTGTGTGTGTGTGGGTGCGTGTGTGTGTGTGTGTGTGCGTGAGAGAGTGTGTGTGTGTGTGTGTGTGTGTGTTTGTTTGCTTGTCTTTGTATGCGTGGGTTGTATGTTTGTGCATGTGTGCATGTGTGCATGTGTGTATGTGTGTTTGTGTGTACGTATGTGTGTGTGGGCGCGTGTATGTGTGTGTGTGTGACTATGTGCGTGTGTACGTGTGTACATGTGTATGCCTCTATGTGTCTACGTGCGTACGTGAGTATGCGTGTATGTGCGGGTAAGTATGTACATATGTATGTATGCATGTACGTATGAGTGTATGTATGCATGCATGTATGCGTATGTATGATGCATGTATGCATGTATGTAAGCACGCGTCACACGTATACCTTCTCGAAGAACTGGCTGAGCCTTTGTTTGTCAAGGGAAAGTCCTTGCACTCGTTGGACTCGTTCTGCTTGGGCCCAGAGCTTGCCTCGAGGTGTCAAGTGTGGCGTGTCTGCCTGTGTGTGGCATGGCGTCATACCTCACGACACTTGTCCATCCCCGTACCGGAAAGCTGGACCCAACTTGTTGGGTATTCCACCTGAGCCAACAATGAACCTGCGAATCTTGGTTGACGTTGGAAGGGGAGCAAACAATTAAATTTCAGCAGTTAAGTGAGATTTCCTACTAAACTACAATAAGCAAAAGTGTAAAATGTTTCCCAACAACAACCATGGAATGATGTTGCAGCTATCGATTCGTAGGCAACGACTTTGCATGCTCGTTTTGCTCTGAGCTCCGGAAAGGTTAGGCCCCCCAGCCGCCAAACGGAGGAAGTCCCGCATGGTCACGACACTCACTTTGCTATGCAACAGTCCCAGCACATCGCCTGCGGCAAAAGGCGTGAGGGTCTTTGTTGATAGAGCAAAGAAAGAACAGCCAACCGACCGCCTTTTGATCTGCCAAATTCCAAAGGGCATTGGACAGCATACGAAAACTGGCCATCCAAAAGGGTGCGATGTTTAGACTGCGTCACCGTGAGAACCGGCATTGTTCGTCTCGCAGGCGAAGTCGTAAGCAGTGCGCCCCAAGGAGCTTTCTTGGTCCAAATCAGCGCCGGTGGCCAGCAAATGCCGAAGCACAGTGCAGTCACCCACCTCTGTCCCCCCCATTGGGAACGTTTGACATTGGAAACTGAAAAGCTTTTCCAAATCCAAATTTGGCTGGGTGTCCAAACAGTGAGGCTTTGCCCCCCCCCCCAACAAAAAAAAGGAGACTCAAATGGAAAGGGCAGTTTCAAAACTGAATGGGTGATGTCGTTTCCCTTCAAAGCTGGGAAGCCTAGCTAGTTTTGACATAACTCGATAGGCTGGCAGTGAAAAGCGGGACACTATGACCAGATAGGTCGCAATCGCTGCCACGTGGACCGGGTAGACCATCTCTTGCTCGGATGTGAAACGTGACAAAGGCCTCGGGATGTCCACAGCTTGGAAGTTGTAGTGCGTCAACCACTTTTGGATCTCGAGCTCCCGCCGTTGCCGTTTCCTGCTACGCTTCGAGCTACCTCTAGAGCTGGAGATTGGCTGCTCATCATCGGAAGATGTCGAAGAGGTTGTCAAAGATGATGCCGAAGATGCCTTCGAAGATGTCGAGCACGTCGAGGATGTTGACTGCCTAAGGTCATAATACAAAACAAAAGCAAAAACGGCAAATCAACACCCCACAACAAGCATCATGTTTAACTGAATCTCCTTTTGCCCGCTTTTCGGGTCCTTCTACTCATCTGCAGAGTATTTTGAACAATCACCGGCTTGGTATTCGCCTCGGTGAAACCTTACTGCCAAACTATTGGGAAACAAAACCAAAGACCAGCGACCCCGTGGCTCTTGGGTTCTTTAAGGGCACACGCACTCTCGAGCCACGCCACCTCTTCTCTTCGCAAACTTCTGGCAACACAGCCCCCTCTAGGCAGTCAGCGTCAGGCTTCTCCGGTGCGGGCAAAGTGCTGAGGCGCGTCATTCAAGTGCCAGCTCAAAACGAACGCATACTTGAGCTGAAACACATCAAGCAAGTGTGTGTTTTCACGAACTCCTGTGTGCGCATTCAAAACTAAGGGTCCCTCCAAAAACAGTTGGTGTAGAAGTCCAAAACGTTTCCCTTGCATGTGCCGGGAGGCTAAAATCTCATTGCCTTGCATTTCGCCGGTGTGAATGACGCAAACCCATTGACCACTGGCACCACATCGGAGTGTTCGGACGAGATCCCCTGCTCAAGGCCGGATTTTACTTCACGCCCCAGCGTGGGAGGCACAAAAAGTGAGATGCCGTGTGGTTTGCCATTGGGAACCTGAACTGTTGGGGTCTGTCGCACCAAGGTTCGACCCAAAGGTCACTTTCCGTCATGTTCGAACAATTGCTAAACATCGAAACATGGTCCTCAAGTAAAGGCATCGGTGAGCTCGCCGAAAATTGGGGAGATTCCATCCGCTTCCGGCGCAGTTGGCTCGACTTCGCCTCATCACTCCAGGCGGACTCTTGGCGTGCGCGCTGCATCCACTGCTCTGCGTCCGCCTCGTCCCCCACCTGGCGATTCCAATGGGCCTCATGAACGCCTCGCACACCGAAGTCGTAGTTGGTATGGCCACTTGTGTAACACACCTATTTCCTCCACTTGTGTAACACGCCACTTGTAGAGAGCTGAGAATAAGGGTATCAACTTTTTCAGTAGCCAATTTTATTAGGGGGAACCCTCCCCCAAAAAGGGGGCCAAAAAGGGGCACTACTGGGGGACATGGACCCCAGGGGGCGGTTCTAAACATGACCAACGCGGGTTCCATGTTAATCGACCCTCAAAGCAGTATTCCGACCACCTTTTTTGGGGCAAACGGAGCGGCCCGACGTGCTCAATGCGCGTCAATTGCGGTTGTGTCACAAAAAGGAGACTTCTGCAAGTGGTCGGTTTCCTTTTGGCTTCCCTTTCAAACCCATCAAGTCCAACCAACTTTAGAAGACACCTGGGCTGCATGACACCAGCTGGAACCTGACACGCATTAGTTTCAGGACCATCAAGGTGGAAACGCAGAAGCAGGGTATGTGCTCACACATGTGGGTCCAAGCCCTGGTACGTCCCTCTTCCCCGCCCTTTTAAACATGGACCAAACACAAGGGGGTTACCAAAACAGGGGTATCGGGGCTTTTCGCCACACCCAAATGAGCATTGATTTTTTGAGGTTCAGGGCTCATACGCTGCTGGGGACGCTGGGGGCTTCGCGGGGCCAGAATTCGTTCAAGGGTTGGCTTCGCGAGGCTTTGCGCTTCCCAGAGTGGCTTCGCCAGGTTTCGCAGACCTTTGTTCCGCAAACATCTCTGATGTTTGTGCTCTCATTTACTTGAATCAAGTTGAGTCGATGCGAAAGGGGGCGATGAAAGGCGGAAAGAGAGAAAAAGGGGCGAAGCATGCAAGTTGGACCCCGGCGGCTTTGCTGAGGCTTCGAAGAGGCTTCGCGAAAACGGCCCACCGTTTCTAGGAAAACACGGTCTGACACGCACAGTACTCTCGCGGTCGTCTTCCTGTCGTCGTCCCATCATCTTCCGGTGGACTGACTGTAATCTTCCTGTCACCTTGTCATAGCCTCCCGGCATCCATCCGAAAGTGACTCTAAACATCGACCTTTGGCATACTGCTGCCATGAAAGCACGTAGCACACTAGAACCACGAAGTGGCTTCGCAAAGTGGCTCCGGGCTACACGAATTGGCTTCGGGGGGCTTCGCGGCACACAATGTATCACACAAGTGGTCTTTGCGGACCTTTTTGGGAGTCCCCCCGGAAGCTAAACTCCGTCATCTGCGGAAAAAAAACAAAAAAAACCAAAAAAACGCTGCTCACATGAGTGGGGAGTGACATCACACGCAGTCATTTCCCAACTGACATGTCGGTCAGCGACCTTACGGAGTGAAGCGGAAACTCTGGGAGCATGGGACTGAGTCTGAAAAGGACTAAACGCGTCGAAGACCAATCTACAGGCTAATGCCCCGTCAAAACCGGGTACCGGATCAAAAACATTAAAAACAAATCAAGGATCAAACAAACATATTCCAGGTGGATCAAACAAAACAAACAGGTGTCAAAACCGACAGCTGCTCTGGGGCCAACACATGCGTGGTCATGGATCGCTAGGCCTTGTTGCATAGACATGTTTATTAGGTCCTGTCCATCTCTTTCCTTGCCTATGCGTACAGAAACATTATTTGGTGAACTCTATTAAAAGATCGTTTGGCCCCAGTTCCACCCCGAGGTCGGGGTTGCTCTTTGAGCACAAGGTCTGACCTGAGGCAGCTTGAAAGGAACCACTATTTTCCAACAAGGTGAGTTGGCTACACGTGCCAGCCTCCCCGGCCGCCAAACCCATCTTTGCCCGTCTTTTTGTTTTTTGTCCTGTTGCTCCGTGCGTGCGAGCGACCGCGCCAAGCGCACCTGAGAGGCAGCCAGCGCGAGGGCGCCGTAGGACATGACCCCCGGGCGCAGGCCGAAGCCCTCCATCTCCCCCAGCAGACCTCGAAGCCGACCGTCGCCGACCGTCGCCGACCGAAGCCGAGGGACGCGCCTCGCGCGTCGCCGGGAAAAAAAACCGCAGCGGTTGGTTGTGGAAAAGGCGGGGGGTTGGTTTGCGCGGGGAGCTGCGGAAGGGAGCCGACAAAAAGAGTTGCTTCTTTTTATTTTTTAACGAAAAGGAATGGACATTGCCTGGAGTCCTTTCCAAGAGCTGCTCTTGGAATAAGAAACGGAAGTTGAGGCCAAGTTCTGCATCGGGAACACAAGACGCAGGCCCTTGTTTGAAAAAGGTTTGGTGAGGCACTGAATCCTTTCTTAGGGCTCATTTTTTTTGGGCCCAAAGGCCCTGAAACAAGTCGGTTGCTGGGGCCTATGGCCTATGGGTTCTTTAAAAAACTCAAGATTTGCATGGGGTTGCGGTCAACGTTTCGGGGCTGGGTTGTGGGATTTTCATAGGAGGTGCCTCCGAATGTGGACTGACGCCTTTGCTTTTGCCACTTTGGACCTTCGAGTTCGCGATCTCCTCGCCACAAAGACCTTGACTTGGTTGCTGGAAGGACTCCCTTGCAAACAGTGAACAACTTTTTGGGGCTTTAGTGGAAAACACCTTTATTGTACAAAAAGTTAAAGTCTAAAGAACCAACCCAATAGCAATCAAGTTGAAAGCTTAGAATTGAAGTGCAACGTAAGGCTCCAAAACCGTGAAGGAAAACACAATAGTACACATTGCTTAACTCAACGCCACGTGTGCACTGACATGGTGGTGAACACGATGTGAAATCAAACCTCTACTGCGTTTCGCTCAGGTTTCTTGAAAATAGTCACCGCAAACAAAACACCTTGAAAGCTTAGAATTGAAGTGGAACGTAAGGCTCCAAAACCGCGAAGGAAAACACAATAGTACGCATTGCTTAACTCAACGCCACGTGTGCACTGACATGGTGGTGAACACGATGTGAAATGAAACCTCTACTGCGTTTCGCTCAGGTTTCTTGAAAATAGTCACCGCAAACAAAACAAATTGAAAGAATAGAATTGAAGTGAAACGTAAGGCTCCAAAACCGTGAAGGAAACCACAATAGTACACATTGCTTAACTCAACGCCACGTGTGCACTGACATGGCGGTGAACACGATGTGAAATCAAACTTCTACTGCGTTTCGCTCAGGTTTATTGAAAATAGTCACCGCAAACAAAACACCTTGAAAGCTTAGAATTGAAGTGGAACGTAAGGCTCCAAAACCGTGAAGGAAAACACAATAGTACACATTGCTTAACTCAACGCCACGTGTGCACTGACATGGTGGTGAGCACGATGTGAAATCAAACCTCTACTGCGTTTCGCTCAGGTTTCTTGAAAATAGTCACCGCAAACAAAACACCTTGAATGCTTAGAATTGAAGTGGAACGTAAGGCTCCAAAACCGTGAAGGAAAACACAATAGTACACATTGCTGAACTCAACGTCACGTGTGCACTGACATGGTGGTGAACACGATGTGAAATCAAACCTCTACTGCGTTTCGCTCAGGTTTCTTGAAAATAGTCACCGCAAACAAAACACCTAGAAAGCTTAGAATTGAAGTGGAACGTAAGGCTCCAAAACCGTGAAGGAAAACACAATAGTACATATTGCTTAACTCAACGCCACGTGTGCACTGACATGGTGGTGAACACGATGTGAAATCAAACCTCTACTGCGTTTCGCTCAGGTTTCTTGAAAACAGCCACCGCAAACAAAACACCTTGAAAGCTTAGAATTGAAGTGGAACGTTAGGCTCCAAAACCGTGAAGGAAACCACAATAGTACACATTGCTTAACTCAACGCCACGTGTGCACTGACATGGCGGTGAACACGATGTGAAATCAAACCTCTACTGCGTTTCGCTCAGGTTTCTTGAAAATAGTCACCGCAAACAAAACACCTTGAAAGCTTAGAATTGAAGTGGAACGTAAGGCTCCAAAACCGTGAAGGAAAACACAATAGTACACATTGCTTAACTCAACGCCACGTGTGCACTGACATGGTGGTGAGCACGATGTGAAATCAAACCTCTACTGCGTTTCGCTCAGATTTCTTGAAAACAGTCACCGCAAACAAAACACCTTGAAAGCTTAGAATTGAAGTGGAAAGTAAGACTCCAAAACCGAGAAGGAAAACACAATAGTACGCATTGCTTAACTCAACGCTACGTGTGCACTGACATGGTGGTGAACACGATGTGAAATGAAACCTCTACTGCGTTTCGCTCAGGTTTCTTGAAAACAGTCACCGAGGGGGTTTCCCCAATTAAATCATAACCTGGCGCACTGATTCATTTACAACTGCTTGGTTGCTGGCAAGACCCCGGCGCAAAAGTGCACATGTTTTGTGCGTTTAATGACAATTCCACAGTTTCTTTCAATCAGGTCAAGTCCAAAGATCCAACCAACTAGCCATACGGACTATACCAATCTGTCCATTTTTAGTCCTCCCACAGATTCCCTTTGAGAACTCTATTCC